GGGCTTTCCTTCCTGGGCTTACTCTGCCCTCACTCCGGGATCTCATTTCCTAGAAGATGAAGCCTCCAACTCCCTGCAGGGGGGCTGCAAAGAGGATGGAGCTGGGCTGGTCTCAGTGGGGGCAGACGACAGGACAAGGAGCAATGGGCTCAAGCTGCAGCAAGGGAAGTTGAGGTTGGATACTAAGAAAAACTTTCTCACTAGGAGGGTGGGGAAGCGCTGGAGCAGGTTACGTAGAGAGGTTGTGAAATCTCCCTCCTTGGGGGTTTGTAAGGTCTGGCTCAACAGCTGGGATGGTGTAGTTGGAGCTGGTCCTGCTTGGAGCAGGGGGTTGGACTGGATGCCTTCCTGAGGTCCCTTCCCACCCTCATTGTCTACGATCCTATGATTAGCTTTCTGCATGTGCCAGGTTTCCCTCTGAAAACGCAACCGCTGCTTTTTTATTCTAATGCTCGCTGCTACTGGGGGGGGTGTGGGCTTGTTTCATAACTGTGGCCAGGAGAGATGCCATGTTTCCCTTGTGCTCCGGACAGGCTAACCCCTGCACGATTTTGTGGCAATGGGGGACTGCATTCATGCCCCCCCCCGGCCTTTTGGCAAGTGAGACCAGGGGTCTCCGGGCTTGCATGTAGGACGCCTGTCATGGATTTGGAGCAGACGTGAACGACTGAGCTCTGCTCAGCGAGATTTGGAACTGAACTATTGGGCTTTGCCCAACTGAATCTGGAACTGATTTGGCCATTGGAGCAAAATTTTATATGTATGAATATATACCCCTACTCTGTGGGCTCTGAGAGCAGGCCAGTGACTCAGCTCCTGCTGCTTGCGACAGCGCGCTTGGTGCTGTACATTAGGAAATGAAAAAAATGCTGTGTCAGAGAGCTGGTATCACCAGCCAGACATGCCTTGAGGGGCCAGATCCTGTTGCCTGGCGACTTCTGGGCTGGACATCATGAGTGTTGCGCTGCATCGAAGCTTAGAGTCATGCCGTTCTCATCTCCCTCTTCCTCTCTGGAGCCTTCCAGGATTATTTTGTGGGGGAGCTGGTCCACGTCCCTCTGCAGGAGGGCAGGCCCTGGGTTTTCCGGGGGATCAGTCCGTGTGACGCAGACACCATACCAAGCATAGGGCCAATAGGAAACGGCCTGCGAGCCAGCATTTGGACACACGTGGCTGGAGCGGAGGTGCAGAGGGCTGTGCATCGAACTCGGCTGATGCATTCCAGCTGCCCGCTCACCCATTAATGAGCAGAAGCACTGAGATCTCAGTGTTGGCTTGAGTGAAGGTAGAAAAATCAAGATTGCCAGGAAAGGCAATGTTCCCAAACCCACGCATTTAATCATCCACTGCCCCAAAGAGGGGGTTGTTTGACCTTCGTGTTTGCTGCATCGTAGCTTTAAAGAGGAGACCAAAATTGCCCCGGTTCCACCCTAATCCCTAGACCAGAGGTCAGCAAGGGCTTGAGGGGGAACTCCCCCTCCAGAGCTGTCTATCCTGTCTAAAAACCTGAGTGCACGGCTTCCTTCTTTGTAAGACGCTTCGGTTGTGGGGAAGCAGCATCTTGCCATGATAAATGAGCAAGCAACCTGTTCCTGTCGACGCTGGGTCTCTGTCCGGGATGGCGAAATAGGCCTTGGGTCCTTCTCCAAGAGCAGGAAACGAATCTACTGCCGGCAGAAGGCGAGAGGGGGCAAACGCCACCTGCCACCAGCCAAAAATAAATCCATCTCAGTGCGGGCACGGCTCGTTCAGGAAACCTCTGCCCCAAAGTGATCTCCTTCCTGCTAGCCCTGCGGGTCTCATGCTGCTAGAAGGGAGCAGCAGTAGGCAGGGGATGCAGTGGGAGCAAGGACCCTTTGCATAAACTTTGGGGAGGACCACCATCGCCTGACAACCTCACCTGAGCTGCCTGCCTTGTCCCCCTGCGATCTGCTCTCTCCCAACTCCTTATCTTTAGCCCTTCCCTCCAGATTTCTCCATTCCTCTGCTGATCCCCCACAAAGGTCTGAAACAGCCTGCCATCAGAGGTGGCTCAAGCACTTACATTGAACACCTTCAAGAGAAAATTGGATGCTTATCTTGCTGGGATCCTACAACCCCAGCTGACTTCCGGCCCTTTGGGCGGGGGGCTGGACTCAATGATCTTCCAAGGTCCCTTCCAGCTCTAATGTCTATGAAATTCAGCACTGATGCCGACTTGTTCGCCTGGGGAAACTGAGGCAGGGGTCAGCCTGAAGCTGCAAAACAAGTCGGTGGCTGACAGACCTTTGCCTACAGCCAGAGGCCATCCCATCTCCCCCCACTGCCGACCCTTGTCCTGTGAAGTCGGTGCAATGTCTGGGCTGTGACAGAGGGGGTATTCTTAAGGGAACAGCAGGCCTGTTCAGGCTCCACCTTCCCTTGGCTCCTCTTGTAGCGACCCCTGCCCAGGGCTTTCTGTCCAAGGAGTTTTCCAGGCCCTGGGTGCCAAGGGACAGGGATTCAGCCCCCTGTGACTTAACCAACCTAGCTGACCCCCCAGCTTCCCCCATACACTATCCAGGGGCTAGCTGCCTCAGTTTCCCCATGCAAATAAATCCCAATGCCAGGTACCTTGAGTGTACAGCCTACACAGCCTTTATGCAAGCCCTTGAAGCTGTTCAGCTTGATCTACTTTCAATCCACCCCTTCAGTTATATCAGAGCCACTTCCCTGAGTGCCCTTGCAAGAAAAGCCCTGTGTGCAGTATCCACAACCCCTGGAAATGGTTCCCGGGGGCATTAATTTGTAGGACAGCTGCAACCAGAGGTACTTGCTGGGATCAGAGCTGAGTTGCAGCAGGGGCTGTTCTCCCACCTATACACACAACTGGTCTGTGGTTGTGAAGCAGGCATCCTCCCTTGCCCATATCAGCCCTTCCTCTGCCTCTCACCAATTGATCTGTTTGCAGTTAGAGCAATTGCTGTCCAATAATGCATTGTCTCAGCCAAATGAAAGCAGCAGGGATTCCTCTTATCTCTTTATTTAAAGAGGAGGGCGGATCTGGCTGGCTTTGCTGGGAGAGACACCTTTCCCTGCTCACTGCCTCCTGGCAGGGTTTGGGGTTTTGGAGCAGGTGCGGCACCATGTCACAGCCAGTACTGCTGATGACAATTGATGCGATAGATAGGGGTAAAGCCCCTGGAAAGCTCGTGGGCATTTGGGACTTGCAAGGGGTAGCACTGAAGTACAAACAGGCCTTGCCTTTTCCAGAAAGGCTGAGTACCCAGAGGAGAATTTACCGCTCTGAGCACCCGGTAGGTGGCTGGAGACGGTTCCCTTTGGGAATTGAGTCATTGCTATTAGTCTAAATACAAGGTCCCTTAATGGGACTGGGGGCAGCTGTGCCATTTCAATTAAACCTCCCAGAGCTCTACTGTTGCCTCTGCCACTGAGCTGCTCTACCACCTTGGGCATGTTGCTTCACGCTGTTGGCAACTTTATAACAGGAAGGGGGGGGGAGGGAAAATCCCTCCAATAGGTCAGAGGGTTTGAGAGTTTAGTCACCCTGGGAAGCACCAGCACTGGGAGCATTTATTGCACTCTGTAAAAGGCATCAATTGCCTAGGCCAAGAGCACAGCCAGCGCTAGCTCCAGCAGCCTGACCTGTTGGCCAACAATCAACATAAGCAAATACTTAGAGGGAAGAGAGACTCTCAACCTCACAGGAGAGGGAAGTCTCCTCCACTGCTAGAATTGCAAAGTTGAGGCATTTAACCCACTCCAGGTCAGAGCTGCAGCACAGAAAGGGTTAACAGCTGCCTGCTTTTGGACTGCAAAGCCTTGTGCTCACCTAGAGGGATCCCAACCAAGCAGGACTTGCTGTTACCGTGCTCCAGTGCTCAGACCGTGCCCTCCCCATGTCCCATGGCTCTGTGCCGCACCAGCTGCCCATTGTCCGCTCTACGTGCGGACAGTTTGTACAGCTAGCCGCTAGGTCCTGGCTGCTCTGCAGGTGACAACTGACCAGATGTGCTGACCAGCCACCCCCAAAAGCTGCCATGAGCCCAAAAGAAAGGAGACAGGCTGCAGGAGTTCAAGTGCCAGCAAGGACACAGGGTTGCAAGAGCAAGATCAAAAAATAAAATTAAATAAAATAAAATAAAAAAAAGTGCAGAGCCCAGGCTCTAGTCCAACCCAGGAGCCTCAAAACACCCAGAGGTTTATGATGAGAGCTACACAGGCCCGTCCCACTCCCAAGCTGGCAGCAGATAAGGTCAGCCTGTGCATGCTGCACATGCAAGGAGATTGCTTCATCCTGAAACTGCTCCATGCCCCGAGGGCTAACACCAGGCCCCAGGCTGCTATGAAGGCAGGTGTTGCTGGGCTCTGGCTTGTGTTAAGTGCAGGTGAGGCCATGAAGCTTGGGGTGGGGGGGAAGGGAGAATACCAAGGAAAACAAAACAAAACAATAATAGCTCTCAGCCTACTCCCAGAGCCCTTAAAATTGCCTCCATCTGTTCCACCAGCACTGCTATCTGTGCCCACCCCTTAACAGTGCTCCCACTCCCTCATCCTAGGGTGCACCTGGTTGGAAGGGAAGGTAGGTGCCTACACCACTTAGGCAGGGCCTATAAACCAGGCCTCTCCCAGGGAGATAAGGATGGCTGTAAACAGAGGGTGCAACTGTACTATATTGCTCAGATAAGGGAAGATCAGGGAAAAGAGGGATGAGATGATGATGGCCTGAAGAAGTCCCAAGATGTGGGTAGCTGACCCGTTCGGGGGGGGGGAATTTCAGCTATTGTGTCATCTGCCCACTCCTACCCCAGAGCAAGGAAGGAGGAAGCACAGCAACTCTTTCCCCCCACCCCCTGAAGGAGGTGCAAGGGTCATCTGCCCACATTACCAGGGCTGAAAGCACAGGGAAACACAGAGCAGTACTCACACCCAGCTTATCTCATCCGTGCTCCACCAGCTGCAGAGATGAAGCCAGCCATGGGCACTCCTGCACCCCACAGAACCAGGAGACCCAGCACCAGCAGCTTTGATAAAAAGGTGTTTATTGGAACATGTCAGGTACCAGCATTTCTGCTTCAGAAAATAATTTACAGCTCAGATAAGTTATTTTTTTTTTTTACAGTGTTAACAAAAAAAAAAAAAAAAAAAAAAAAAAACACCCCCCCCAAAAAAATAAATAAATAAAAATAATACAGGGCTGAGTGGGGTAGACAAAGGCAAGGTGCCACAGCGCTATGCCAGGCACTATGGCAGAAGGGGAGGGGAGGGGAAAGAAACTTGGGTTTGCAGCGAGCCAAACAATTCAAGGATGCAGGGACAAGTGAGACTCAGATCAGTCCCTTCCTGCCAGTAGTTTCTGGCTCTGGTTAGGATCAGTTTTCCCAGGTTTGCCCCCACCTTAAAAACTTGGGCAGATGCTTACTGTGACATTCCCAAACCCACATCTTCACTCAAGGCAGATCCTACCCCCAACTGCTGCAGTGCAAGTCCATCACCCCACTGCAACCACTGGATGACCTTCTGTGCACACACCAGCTCAGTGGTGCTACTATCCAAACCGGAGTCGGTCAGCTCAAAAACTAGACTCTTTTTTAAAAACCAAGAGGGAGGGGCTGGCAGAGTTAGCCACTTGTTATCTGGCCTGTTCATTCCCTAGCCACGTGAGGATCACAGAGCCAGCCGGAGAGTAAATGGACAGCCCGAGCAGTAACCACAGCCCTTCAGTCCCCATTCGTTTCTCTGCACTTGAGGCTGGAACAAAAAAAAAAAAAAAAAAAAAAGGAGAGGGAAGCATTTTCTACGCATCTATAGGTTGTAGCGTACCAAGAACATGTACAAAACAGAGCCCCAACATACAGGTCCTCTACAGATTCCAGCTCAGTAGATTTTTTTTTAAAAGAAAAGTGACATGGGACAACACTGCGTCCAAGAAATGCTCAAAATTTTTCCAACGTAGAAAATATACACAGAACTAGGTCATTCCTCCTCCTCCTCCAGCCTAGGCAGAGATCTGTTGATGGTGTCACTTCTCATCCAGGTGGCAATACAGGTACATGGCCACAACCATGGCTGCGATCTGCAGAGGAGGAAGAGTAGGTTTGATAGCTGGCTGCTGCAGGAATCCCTTGTTGGTTTTGCATCCTCACCCCATTGTGCAGCTGTAACCACCCAGTCGGTATACCTGGGTGTCTGCCCGTTCTTTAGGGTTACAGGCCTCACTAACCCCTGGCTCTGGAGCTCCTGCTGTCCTGTATGCCAGTCCCCCCAAGTAACTGCTACCACCTTTCCCTTGTCTCAAACCCTCTTGTCATCAGGGCGAGGTTGTGGCATCAGGCCACCATGCAAGCCCATGAGAGCATAGCTTTGGTGAGCAAGTGCCGAACACCTGCACTGGGATGGCTGTGGAGGCCTGGCAAGCTGGGTCTTTAAACCCAGCAGAGTAGCAGGTGCTGGCCCTAACAGGGAGCCAACTCACCTCCAGCGCGCAGATGCCGGCTGCCACGCCACCCACCACACTGGCGTTCATGCGGATTTGTTTCAGCAGCTGCTCAAAGCAACCCTGGGGGAAAAAAAAAAAAAAAAACACCAAACCCATCCGGTTAGAAAGTGCCAGTCATGCAAGACAAGAGCTAGCTGGAGTCCAGCTGAATGGCTGCATAAAAGCTACCTGTTGGATGCTTTCCAAGGATATCCAAAAAAAGAAGTTGTGCACTGGCCTAGAGGCAGCAAGTGTGGCAAACAGCACACTTGACCCATCAGCATACTGCCTGCTCCCACCCAGTTTGTCATCTGCATTTGCAGAGAGTTGAGCAACATTTGACTGCTCCCAGGGGTTTTTGGGTGCTTGGAGCAGTCAATCTTAGCTGCTCCCACTAGGTTTCTAGCACTGCACTTGACAGGGCCGAAACATGGACTGCTGGGCTCTGGCAATGCACTGCTTGCTCATACAAATGGGGAGCTAAAAAAAGCTGCCATGTGCTCCTTGACACCTCATTTTAGTCCCAGACTGCAATACCAGCCAGGCCAGAAGTGGCATGTGCCGTTTCCTCAGTCATAAAATCCCTGACCCCCCTGTACACTGAGCTCTGGGATCATCCCACCACATGCTCCAAGCCATAAGGAGGGGGATTTGTGGGGCTAGGCAGATAGGGTTAGGAATGGCAGATCAGTGGTTTTCATTCCAAGGGATCCAGAAATCTGGAAGACATCTTCAGCTCTCCATGTCTGAGGATTCAGCCATATAGTAATAAGGCCAACTCCTCCATAGCTTTTGCATGCGAGTACTTGGAAAGGGGATGTGGTCTTCGTTACTGTGCCGATGTTAGGCACATGAAATGCATCCTCTGGCCTCTGCAAAGCACCGCTGTGCATTGGGACATCTACACACACCACCCTCCCACCAACTTCAGTGGGTCCTTCCTTGACCCTATAAAAACTTTTTAGGGTGAGCCACTGGAGAATGCATTGGCCAGCAGATCAATTCAGGGTAGATGCATACTAGGGGTCTCTAGTGTGACCAGGCCACAGATGTCAACAGGGTCAGCTCCCATTTACCACCCAAGAACCATTTTAAAAAGAAAGAAAGAGATGCTGCATGCATACCGGGACATGTTCTGTGTCTGCAAGGGTCTCATTGCATCTGCTTATACCCTTGGGGCAGCAGTAGCTTGGGTACATTTGGCCGTTGTTGTTGTAGTAGGGAGAGTTGGTGAAGTCCGTGTAGTTTGTCAGGCCACAGCAGTGCAGCTAGGAGGAAGAAAGCAGACGGTATGAGACACCCAGCTCCACAACAGCACTCAGAGCCAGCCCTCCCCCCCAAAAAAAGCCAAACAGGTCCCAGATGCACAAACCACCCCCTGAACGAAGTGGATTTGCACAGAGGATGAAGCCATATGGGGCAGCTGCAACCTTGCACAGGCCGAAATCAAAAAGGCAAGAGGGGAATAAGAGTCTGGGAGCAACATAGTTGGTATCAAGGAGAGGGGGGCCATCTCCAACTCCCTCAGAGCCCCTTGTCCTTCCCCCTCCCCAGGCCCAGCACGCAACACTTGCTCTAACAGTTTTGTTGCACTTTAGTATTAACCCAGGGATTAAAACACTCGCCTAATGAAGTGGGACCATGTCATGCCAACACCATCGGCGGGGGGGAGAAAGAGGGCATCTAGAGGTCCTCCTTATGAAGCTATTTGCAGCAAAGCCTGCTCCCCCCAGGCTCTCCATCACAGCACCAAGCGGGAGTGGAGCCCGCAGAGCCTCTTGGGTCACCGCTGCAGTGGCCATGGCTGCCCAGCAGGCGGCGCTCTGCATCGCCCCACATGGGACAGGGTCTTCTTTCCCGGGACACGGGGTGCTCCCGGCAGCCCCGCTTACCTCTTCCATGGTGGTGTTCCAGATCTGGGTGATGTCCGAAGACTTCCCGTAGTTGTCCTTCAGCACTGGCGTGACCGTGGCCGTCAGCAAGGTCTCCGCCTAACGAGGACAAGAAGATGCAGAGGTTGGCATTAGACGGACACCCTTAGAAGTGGGGATGGAGTGGGCCGTTCTCCTCGGGCTCACTGCCCGGAAGAGCAGCACCCCAATATGCTGGCCCGAGGGTAGGAGCAAGGCAGGCAAGATGGCAGGCATGTGGGGAGGACAGATCTGCTCCCCCCAGGCCGAAGGGGAAGCTGAGCCTCGTCACCCTAAACAGCCTCACTTCACAACCAGACTAGGACAGGTAATAAATCTGCAAAGGGCCCCATAAAGGAAGCATTAACAGGAACAAAATGTCCTCCAACCCACTGGTCACGGCCCTCGCTGGCAGCACAGGACGTTCCCATTTGTTGACATGCACACAGGGCCCCGATGTTTGCATTTCGGATTTTGTTGGCAACGTCCAAGGCAACTACTATTGTTCTTCCGAGTCCCACGCTGCAATGGATACGCTATTGTTTCAAGCGAGCGGGGAGGGCGTCCGCCAACCGAGCTGCATTGCACCACGGCATGCAAAATGGACTGTGGGAAGCAAGTCTGGAAGGCAGTGGGGATAATACCGGGAGAAACCCAAGCTGTAGACACTCTCCCATCGAGCAAGCTCCCCCCGGGCACCCCGTGCGGATCCGGCCATGCAGCACCACCCCGGCTCGCTGGGAGCGCGCCGAGATGCGTCGCTCCCCTTTTCCCTTTTAAATTTAAGCCTTGGGATCGGAGAGGCACTGCATCATCCTAGCCCCATGGTGGGTCCCGTTACCAGATCACCGATCCTCCATCTCCTCGGACTCACCGTGCTCGTGTAGACGAGAGCCACCACGGCGGCAGCGACCTCCGCGATGAAGATGATCAGGACGATGGAGAAGAACTGGAGACAGACAGAGAAGTTAGGGCATGTCTACAGCACGCGGTCAAAGACAAGAGTCCAGCCGGGGCGCCGGCACGTCTAGCAGCAAGCAAGAAGTCACGCTTGGCAAATGGAGAAGAGAAAAGTAGCAAGACCTCTCCATTTACCGTTATCAGGAGACATTTGCTTTCCTTCTGGGCCCCGCAGCAGCCCAGGAAGCCCAAGACGAGCAGGACGGCTCCGATGGCGATGAGGAAGTAGCCCACGTTGACGAACTGCAGCACCGACGAGGAGACCGGACCGAAAATCTTCATGAACGAGCTCCCATCCACGGAGACCCAGATCCCGACGCCGAGGAGGGCCGCGCCGCCCAGCTGCGAGGGAGGGGAGACGGGCGCGGGTCGTTATTTCGGACGAGGATAAGAGGAACGCTCCTTTAATGATTAGTGCCAAGGGGGTACGGGGACTGCGTGTGCAAGCGGTAGGACAGTCTCTGTGCATGAGCGACCCGGGCGCTGCGAGTACAGGAGCTCCTGAAGACCCTTCATTTTAAAATCAACGGAAAGCAGCCATGAATTGATATGCTCCTCCGGCCAGGAAAATCACTGGACGGGCCTGCCGAGTGCGTCCTCGTAGCTAGAAGGGGCCCAGCACCGCCGTGAGGGAGCCCCGGCAGCCATCTTGGAACTTGGCCTCACGGGGCCAAGGAGCTCAGGCTTCATCGAGCCCGCCGCGCCCAGGCCAGGAAGGGCTCACGCGCCCCCTCGTCACCCCCTCAGCATCCAGCAGGGTTTTCCCCACTCCGAAAACCCAGTCCGACCAGCCCGGGGGATTTAGGGCAAAGAAATACCCCCCTGCACTCCTTTAGAAAATGGCCGCCCTCACGCCTCATGGCTGCCCTCGTGCCCAGCGAGGGCCAGAGCCGTGCGTGGCAAGGGCAGGGCACCATGCCTGCCCGGAGAAGAGCGGGCTGCATCGCCGCCGCGGCTCGACATCCCCGCCCTTATGCGGG